GGTGTGTTTATAAAGTGTTTTCCATATGGGGTTTTTTTTATAATTTCAACACCCATTTTGGGTATATTAGTGAAGCTCCCTTAAAACTTTAGTTGGGGTTCGTGTAATTTTTAAAACCTCAAGGGGTTTTGTGAAAACACCAAAAACATCAGGGGTATTAGTGTGAATATGCTTTAATTATTACAATTCAATATGATATATACCACAAAACCAACCACAGAAGAGTAGTCATTCAAAATCTGCTTTCATAAAGATAAAGTGGAAATCATTAACACAACATATTGAGGGGACCTTTCAGAATTTGAAGCCAAAAACATACAAGCATGCTCCCTTTCTAAACTGTGAGCTAGGAAAACACCTAGCCAACTTGAAACCTTAATGTGGAGGTTACCAAAGCTTTCAATGCTTCCTTTTCATGTATCAATATTATTGTTATTATGTTACTGGTTGTTTTGAAATTAGAATTGTGTTGTTCATAATCTAAAGGTTTCATAGTTTCCGTGATTCATAAGAATGGCAATAGGCTTGAAGAAACCATATTAGAAGTGAGAAATAGGCTACTGGACCTTATCAATAACTAGGAAACTTTATTCAAATCAAGGTAAGAAACACAAACAACATTGATACATTTCACAAGCCATTCCAGACCCTCCTCTAACCAAATTTAGACGTCACGCTCATGCAAAGCATGACGAGCCAGAGAATGAGCAACCATATTACTCTCTCGAGTACTAAAACAGACAGAGCCAAATCCCAATCTACCTTGCTTGCTAAAATTTCCTCAGAAATTATTGCAAATATATTGAATACGTTTCCCAATCAACCTTCTGAGGAGATACCGGCATTGGCAGCTTGAGACCAGTATTCCTTGACAAGCTGCCCAAATAGCGAACCCTTGTTTTTAATCAGCTTCATTGGCTCATCATACTCTACCAGTTTCCCTGCCAATTTAAAGCGGTCAAATTAACAACTATCATCAAATGACTAAGACAGCACAATTCTTGGTACAAGAGTTTGCGATATAATGCTTACCATCACTAATAGCAAGCACCTTAGTGCAGTCCATAACAGTTGGTATCCTATGAGCCACCGTTATCACAGTGCAGTCTGCAAATTCTGTTCTTATAGTTTTCTGAAGAACAGAATCTGTTGCATTGTCCATTGATGCAGTGGCTTCATCGAGCACTAGTATCCGGCTCCTCTTCAACAAAGCGCGTCCCAAACAAAATAGTTGTCGCTGCCCCATGCTCCAGTTTGTTCCATCTTGTACAACTGTAATCCACGTTGTCAGTTCTTGTTTGACAGACACTGAAAAACACTCCTAGAGACAGTTTATTACCTAAAGATTCCAGGCCTCCTTCTTTTTCTTGAATGGCCTCTCGTAACTGACATTTTTCAAGAACCTTTGACATGTTGGTCGGAGGACAAGTTTAAGTTAGTAAAAGAAAGTTATAGAGTATTACATAGCTAAACGTATCAAGATTCAGAGATTTCTATCACCTTACATGTTTATATCCTAATACAACAATCACAAATAAGCAAAAACTTTACCTCCCATATTTCATGATCAGTATGCTCTGATAAGGGGTCTAGATTGAATCTGAAAGACCCATTGAATAATGTTGGATCTTGTGGGATGATCCCAAAACGTGATCTTAAATCATGAAGTCCAATTTTACAAATGTCATAGTCATCTACTATAATCCTTCCCTCTGTAGGCTCTACCAGACGAAACAAAATGCTGATAAGAGTTGTCTTTCCACTTCCAGTCCGGCCAACAATCCCAATTTTGTACCCTCCTTCAATTATGCAATTTATCCCACGAAGAACTAGTGGAGCATTTGGCCTATATCTTACCTGCATGCATAGTTTCATTCAATATCATACACAAGCACCATTGTTCAGAGAGTTACACTCTTTAGTATATCTTTCTCATACTAACCTTTAAATCACGTATTTCCACTTTACCCGCAGTAGGCCAATTGTCGGCAGGTCTGTTTTCATCTATTACTTCTGGAGCCTCACTAGGAATATGCATGTATTGTTCTATCCTTTCTACAGAAATCATTGAATTTTCTAGCATGCATTGGTATTGGACAGAAATTGCTAGGAATACATTTAATGAGAGACCATATGACAGTGCCATCCCAATAAAACCTGTAAAAAGTTTAAGGAAAATGTTAGACAATAGATAATATAGATGGTTACATGAAATCAATTTCAGGCACAAGAAATTGATGGTGGAAGCAACCAGAGGAAGAGGCGTCAAAATGAATCAAAGAAATGGCAAGGGCTGAGGCTGAGAGAACGATAGCACATAGAAATTCAAGACGTTCGATCAGCCACTCATTCGCTGAAAATCTGCTGAAGTCAGCACTAGCATTTGCATCAATTAAATCCAAGTTTTTAGAGAAGAACTGGTCCTCCTCGCCAAAAGCTCTGATTGTCAAGGCTCCAGCAATGGATTCGGCAAGGTGGCTTGCAAGTGCAGACTTTGTCGTGCCATTCATTCGCATTAACTCTTTTGCAGAAGCAAAGTAGTAATTCTATTGTAGAAAAGAAAATCAAATAGAAGATTTGTTGTTTAGGAAAGGCAAAGTACATCTGTCAAAGAACGAAACAAGATGGTTGGTTTAAATGTATTACCTGAAGTAGTACAGTAACATAAATTATTGGAATAATCAGAAACACGATTGGCCAAGTGATAGAAACCAATACTAAAAATATGCTGTATGTCATCAAAGTTGCCCCAACAGAAATTCCTAACTTGAAAGCTACTTCAAGGTCGATGATATTCATATCAGTAGATACCTACACAAAATAGCCATGCAAATGTAAGTTCCATTAGGGTACTTCACAGTAGAACATTCAAAGCCTTTTTTGTGTGTGGAAATTCTTAAGTCTTACCCGACTAAGTACCCTTCCTATGGGTGTTGAGTCATAAAACAGCATTGGTGCTCGGAAAAGAGAGTTCAGTAGTGTATCAAAAATGGACTTGGATGCACCGCATCCTAAGTTAACTAGAAAGAAGAATCGAAGAAACAAAGCGAATGACATGATACACATGATCAGAGAATAAAAAGCAAATAGTTTGACTCTCGATACGCTATAATCCTGAAGCTTGGCAGCCAACCAATACGATTGAATTAATTGCCCAAGTATGAATATCACATGGACAAAAATTGACGAGAAGAAGTGCAAAAATCCCTTGCTCTGCTTCAAATACTGAATATATGGCCTGAAACCAGTGTCTCCTGTTTCTTTTTCTTCTTTCTTAATCAATTGATCCCCAGAAGATTCTTTTTGCGGTACCCTAGTTTGAACTTTCTCAATCTCTTCAATAGAGGAGTTATGTTTTCTTTTAGAAGCATATTCAACTTGCCTCTCACACCCAGCAGTGTCATTGTGTGCATTGACCAGGTCTTGGAACTCTTGACAAGAAGTCAGCAACTCTTTATAAGGAGCTGCTTTTAAAATTTTCCCTGCAGACATCAACTGTGAAGAAAAAAATGTATTACCTGAACTAGTTCTACTGAAATATGAGATTCAGCTGGCAGATCAAAATCATATAAAAAATGTTAGCATGTTTATAACCTACCAAAATGGAATTAAATGATGGAAGGAAGTCTACTTGGTGTGTCACAAGCAAAACTGTCTTCTCCGACAGAGCTCCTATGATATATTCCTGAAAAACTTTCATATTAGCTTTCACTAGAGAAAAGAGACAAAACCATTACAAGTTTGAGATGCAAATTATGAATTACATTAAATAAGCTGGTTGCAGTATGGGCATCAACTGCACTGAATGGGTCATCCAAGAGGTAGACATCAGCGTTTTGATAGAGTGCGCGGGCAAGTTGAATGCGCTGCTTCTGCCCACCACTTAGATTCACACCTCTTTCTCCTATCTGAGTGAGATCATGGAATGGAAGCATCTCAAGGTCCTTCAATAGAGAGCACTTCTCAAGTGTTTCTTGGTATCTAACATGATCCATGACAGACCCAAACAGAATATTTTCTTGTATAGTTCCTGTTTGGATCCATGCAGACTGGGCAACATACGCTATCTTCCCATATACTTGAACCTGTAAAGTATGGCAGACAGAAACTTTACTAGTAAGACTTTCCCATCTAAAGTAGTTTAATAAATTGTTTAGAAGTGAAATGATTACTTACAATGCCATTGATGCGTGGAACTTCTCCAAGAATTGCAGCTAAAAGGGTTGATTTACCTGAGCCAACCTCTCCACAAATTGCTACTTTTTCTCCTGGTTTAACCACCAAATTAATGTTCCTTAATGTGGCCTTTTTAGCACTAGTGTCCCATGAAATTTCAGAAGATCTAATAAGAATTGAATGCTCAAATTCTACGCCAATGCTCTCTTTCCTTGTTTGTCTGTGCTCCAGCTCTGGTGCATCAAGGAAGTTCACAATCCGAGATAATGAAACCTTTGCTTCAATAAATGCTCCAAAAACATCTGAAATCAGCCTAATTGGCTCCTGAACATTACGCAAAGTTGCTAGAAATGTGAAAACATTACTAGCAGATAGTTCAAATCCGAGGAAATAGCATGTCCAAAAGGTTACAGCTGATACTAAAATAGGACTTGACCAAAATACTGCCAAATGATATCCCTTTTGTGACAATACTTGAGATATCAACTTTAGTTCATCCGCTCTTAACCCTTCTATGACATTCTTAAATTTTTTTTCCCAGGAATACAGCTTCAAGATCTTCATATTTGAAAGTGCTTCTGAAATGGCCTTCAGCCTCCTATTTTGTGCCACCATGAACTTCGTTTGATACTCATGCTGCAACTTGGCCAATGGAGAGCTTGCCAGCACACTCAATATGAGTACAATTAGAGCTGAAACAATTGCCAACCCCACTGAGAAGTAAACAATAAGTAATGAAAGGCATAGTTGAAGGCTTGTGGTCCACATCTGATGAAACCAGTATGGAAATTCACCAATTCTGTAAGCATCCACTGTGACATAATTCACCATCTCACCAGGCGAATGAGCCATCTTCGCAGAATTCGAGAGTCGCAGTTGCTTCTGATATATTGCAGCTGACACCAATGATCTCACTTGGAGCCCGATCAGTCTAGTTTTAAAGTACCACTGCCTCTCCGACAGTGATTCCAAGATTTTCACAATGAAGAGAGCAAGAGTCAGTGCATAACCCTCATATTTAAAAGCTGCATTGCCTTCAACAATCTTAATGAAGGCCATGAGAAACAGCGGACTGCTTGTGGTTGTGAGAATCTTGATCAGTGCGTATAGCCCAGAAATAAAAAATTCTCTCCTCTGGCAATAAAAGATTATGGACAAAATAGAAGGGGTATCAGATGAACCTCCTTCCTTCCTTTTGTTCAATTGCTCCATAAATTTTAAGTACCATGTTCGAGCTTGATCAGCCTGTCGCAATAGTGGAATATCTTCATCCTCAAGAATCTTTTGCTTACCTTTCTTCATTAAGGGATTCAGCCACCAAAATGTCATTGTGCTAAATAACCCTGCTTTTTCAAAAGGAGTTACATTGCCATTTGAACTGATATCATCTTTGACATCTGATTCTGCGCCTTGCAAAGGTGTGTAGAAAGCATCATCATGGGTTTGTGGATCACCTTTTGTATCCTGAAATGCACTAAAGAGCAAAAGGATTGATCCTGGGAAATAACAAATGTTTAAAACAATCTTCACCGATATTGCCTCATTTACAAAAGCTTGCCAAATAGCCGAACTACAAAGAAAAACCGCAATCAAGAAAGCGAGAATTGAACAAACTTTCGTTGTCGAAATATGTGAAGGGTTTGGCTTCTTTAGGCTTATGGTAAAAGCCAGAAGCAGCCATGTGAACCCTTGACATAAAAATACTAGCCATCCATGGAGAGGTATAATCGACTGATCTGTATTTACTTTCTTGTTGATTGTCCATACCCCAAAACTGAAGTATGCCAAAGCCAAAGCAGCATTAAAAGTAGCTGAGATTATTGACACTGGAGAGAAGGTTGAGTGTGGTGGAGCTATAATCTTCTTTGAAAATGTTTTATAAATGAGCATACAAAACAAGATGAATAGAAGCAAGATATCAGCTGCAATGACCAAAGTATTGTTGATACATGAATCTGGATTGGTAAGGGCTAAAAAGCCAGTTGAACACTCAGAATTATTGCAGAGCAATAAGCTCCAGAGACCCCCACATGTTGTTTCTCGGCGAGGTGGAAAATCTGCACAATTACAAAGGAAAAATATTGGAAAGGAAAAATGGATCGGTTTCTTAAATTCAAGGTTCTAAGCAGATCTATGCTAGAGTAGTCTACAGACACTGAGATTAAAGTGCATGAGATAGATCTGAAAAACAAGAAACTATTGCATTTCATTTCGTGGTTGAACAACTGAGATCATACTATCAATGTAGTTAAAGGTCACTCTGTATCATGCTTTACGTGAACGTACGTTTCTTACACAGGGTACAAATATGAACTGGCATATATAATCAAAACGTAATTATGTAACAAGAGTAGTGACATATAGAAGACAAACATTAGAGCCTTCCCATAAGAATTTTTTTCCGAAAATTGGGTGCAAATGAAGCTATATTATATACCATCAAGTGAAAAGAACACCATTCAAAAACCAAACATCTGTGTCAAGCTACAGAATCACAACATTTAGTAAAATAAGATTGCAGTGTCCCATATCATTCAAGAAACATGCATTAAAAACAAAAACAAAAAATCTTACAGTGGATAAGCTCACTAACAAATCAGCCTCCTGTTCTAACTTGCTCTTGAAGTCCCCCGCTGTAGCTTGTCATGCATAAAACCTGTCTTTAAAATACTATCAAAGAAGGGGGTGATATGTCAAAGGCAATGTCGAAAAGAAAAAAAAAAAGAAGTTAGCCAAGGGCACGCCAAACTCATTACTCACTTTTGTGTACGATGTCCTACCTCAGTGCAAGTTTGACCTTTTTGACTTCTCAGCAGCACATGGTGAAGTTAAAGTACAACGTTCTTTGGGTTTTCGTTTTCATAGTTTCCAAAAGAATGATTTTTGTACTATGGCTGGTGAATTCATGTGAGGTGTCTGTGTTCTTTTTTTTCTGTCATGTAATTATTACAAAATCGAGTGGACTAAATTTACCTCATGTATATTATAAAGCATAGAAGATGTAACATATAGAAGGGTGTTTGGATAATCTATTGAAAAAAGTATAACCTAAACCCTAAATCCGACATTATTAAGTATAACCTATTGAATAATATATAGAATATGTAAAGAGGTCTTTACCCTTATTGAATAAACATTTAGGGGTAAATGCGCCTTTTTATGTTGGTTTTATTTCCCTCGCCAAGTAGTTGCAGACCAGCCCAATAGGTCAATTACCCCTAAATTTAACGAAAATTTTGACAGAAGAGACTACAGGACTATAACTGCTAACGAAACTGAAGTTTAAGGACCACGGGAATGATTTTGAAAATTGAGGGACCAAAATGAGAATCAGGCCAAAATTCAAGGATCATTGGACCTAAAAATCTTTTTTGGAAGAACATGGGTTGGTTTTAATTGATCAAGAGAGAATGAATGTTTTTTGCATAAGTGGTCCCGTGTGTGGGGTTAGTTTTTATTTTTTATTTTTTATTAGTAAGACATGCGGGGTAGGTTTGTTAGTGAGATTTTAATTGACTGGGATGGGGATGTCACGTGGGAATTCTATAATTTCTCGTCACGTGGGTTGTGGTATTATTTTAATCTACAAAATAATCAACCTACTACAGCTCAGATTAGCTTGAACGTAGGACCGACCTGCTGTAATACATTAGATTAACATGGCTGGTTGTCTAAAATTAGCCCGCACACCACTTTGCTTAGTTGCCCTGGGCTACTTACCCAGCCTCAAGTCTCTTTTTGAGACATTTTGTCAAACATCTTACTCTCATGGCAGTCATATTCAAGGAGAACATCAAAGGAAAGTTGGGAAATTTCATGTTGAGTAATAATACAGAATGGGAGCAATTACATACACTTGCTCTAGCGTGGATCCGCCAGTGATTGGGAGTCCCATGTGTCCTATTAAATGTAGGGCTGGACCTATGAATATGGAAGGGGGGAATCAAACACAAGATTTTGTGTACAAAGATAAATTCTCTTAATCACTTGAGCTACACTTTTTACTTTAAAATAACTCTTGAATATTAATTTTTGTAGAAGAAAGCTGGATTTGAGCCATGTACTAATCCCGCCAAGACCTTTTAATAAAGGGTGCTCCGAAATCACCCTAAAATAACCTCATGCACCAATTCACTGGCTTTCACATAACATCATAGCCATATGTAACATTTTTCTTTGGTTAATGATTTATGATCTCTTCCATGTTACAACTTACAAGAAAAGCATGTTCAACATCTCCAATCATTTTCTATTTTGGCCCATTTTGTTCAAGTATGGACCAATATGGTCTGGTTGGTTGGCATGAGAATTAAGATGAGAATTAACACATGTTACACCAAGACCCAAAAAAAGAAGATTGAGAAGTAACATTATATGTTTTAAGAGTTATTTACACTAACACTCTTGAGGTTTTCGGTGTTTGCACAAAATCCCTGAGATTTTAAAAATTGCACGAACACCCCCTTAGGTCTTAAATTGTTTTCACAAAACCCCTTTCCTCTGATTTTTTTTTTTTTTGAATGTAGAATCAATGAAAAGAGGTTTTGTGAAAACAAATTAAAACTTTAGAAATTTAGTGAAATACCCATTCCTAGACATAAAACTATAAATATACCCTATACCATTCAATATATATAAACACACCCAAAAAAAACCCAAAACTGACAGCTGTTACCTTTTTTAATTTAATTAGATAAATGAAATACCTTTATTACCCATTTAGTATTAAATTAGTTTATTTGAAAAATTTTGGGCGCTCTCTCTCTCATCTCTCTCTGTTCGCTCTCGTCTCTCTGCGTTCGCTCCCGTCTCTCTCCAGCGATCTTGGTGCTCCGGCCACAGCCAGCCGTGAGACTGGTCAGAAAAGGACCGGCCAGGGCCGACGATCAAGTCTGGGCTAAAGCCCAGCCACATCAGCCACTCACGACGCCGCTGCGAGCTCGGAAAGGTCTGTGGATTTCGAGTTTTTCGACGTCATTTCCGGCGACTTCGGCGGTTGTTTCCGTCAATCGAGGTATGAAACTTCATCTACTTTTCGTGCTCTAGCTGTTTATGTATGTGGTTATGATAGATTTTGGAGTTTTGGAAATTAATCAATACACCCTAGATTGTGGTGTTTATGTATATGCAATTGTAGATCCAATTCTTCTTGATTTTATATGTTTATTTTTGTTATTGCCGATTTGGAGGCAAGCTATTGGATTTTATGATTTCGTTCTAATTTGTATTTAGATATTCGTTTGAGTTTTAAATTGTGATTTTAGTTTCTTTTTGTTTATAATTTGGATTGATTTCATATTCGGTTTGGTTGTGGATTTGTTGTTTGAGCTGTGGTTAGAAATTTGTGATATTCGATTTGGTTTTCATATTAATTGAGGTATGCTTTTTCAGTTGAATCTGAGTATATTCGTGTTTTTTCTATTTATCACTGTAAAGTTCCAGTATAGGGTAATAACACCGTTTTTTTGCTATGAAATCCTATTTATAATGCATATCTACCACTTTACAATCCTATTTCTAATGCATATCTACCACTGTAAAGTTCCAGTATAGGGTAATAACACCGTTTTTTTGCTATGAAATCCTATTTATAATGCATATCTACCACTTTACAATCCTATTTCTAATGCATATCTACCACTGTAAAGTTCCAGTATAGGGTAATAACACCGTTTTTTTGCTATGAAATCCTATTTATAATGCATATCTACCACTTTACAATCCTATTTCTAATGCATATCTACCACTGTAAAGTTCCAGTATAGGGTAATAACACCGTTTTTTTGCTATGAAATCCTATTTATAATGCATATCTACCACTTTACAATCCTATTTCTAATGCATATCTACCACTGTAAAGTTCCAGTATAGGGTAATAACACCGTTTTTTTGCTATGAAATCCTATTTATAATGCATATCTACCACTTTACAATCCTATTTCTAATGCATATCTACCACTGTAAAGTTCCAGTATAGGGTAATAACACCGTTTTTTTGCTATGAAATCCTATTTATAATGCATATCTACCACTTTACAATCCTATTTCTAATGCATATCTACCACTGTAAAGTTCCAGTATAGGGTAATAACACTGTTTTTTTGCTATGAAATCCTATTTATAATGCATATCTACCACTTTACAATCCTATTTCTAATGCATATCTACCACTGTAAAGTTCTAGTATAGGGTAATAACACTGCTTGTTTGCTATGAAATCCTATTTCTAATGCATGTCTACCACTGTAAAGTTCCAGTATGGGGTAATAACACTGCTTGTTTGCTATGAAATCCTATTTCTAATGCACGTCTACTAGTGTTATTACCACATACTGGAACTCTACAGTGGTAGACATGCATTACAAATAGGATTTCAGAGGAAACAAGCAGTATTAATACCCTATACTGGAACTTTACAGTGCTAGACGTGCATCAGAAATAGGATTTCAGAGGAAACAAGCAGTGTTATTACCCTATACTGGAACTTTAAAGTGGTAGATATGCATTAGAAATAGGATTGTAAAGTGGTAGATATGCATTATAAATAGGATTTCATAGCAAAAAAA